GGTGTTGGTTATAAGACCATCAGGTACGGTTTGGGTCACTTTCTGGTGGAGGTCAGGTCAAGGTCAGGTCAAAAAAGGTCAAATTTCAAAGTTGATATTTATGCATAAAAATAAATGGGTATTGATTCGATGCAGCTCGTCACGGGGAGTCTAATGGTGGTCTTTGTTTTGCGCTACGAGGTCTAGAATTGCTAAAAAATTGAGTTTGAAAATTTGACGTCATTAATTTTGAACAGTTTTTTCGCTATAACTTAGCCTAAAAAGAGGTATCGATCTCAAATTTGGTATGTAGATAGAGGTCGGTAGGAACTATCACATATCTTCCGGATTTTTTTTCGAAATTCAAAAATCTTTTTGGATTTTTCGGCTATTATATTCAAAATCTATTTTTATTTTTGGGGGTCAAAATCAATAAAATTTCAAAAATCCAAGATAGCAGTTTTGTAGCCCTGTAAATTCTACACCTTTTAGGTATGTCTGAAACATTTTTCTGTATCTCTAAAGTTGTAGGTCTGACAGCTCTTCTCGCGAAACCTTTTTTTGGGGTCGAAAATGGCAGAAATGACGTCACTCTTACGTCATTAGCGTCCAACCTATCAAAGCCTTTGGAAAAATTTTTGGTTACAATTTGCAATAGCTATTCACGGGAGGGTACTGAAAGTTTGGTGACGATCGGCTCAGCGGTTCTCGAGATATCAAAAAAACTAAAGGGGGGGCAAAAAAATGCCCCCCCCCCCACCGCCTGGAAGGCTAATATACCTGACCTTTAATTCAAGCCGAATCTTCTGACACCAACCGCATTTTCGAGTCAGGTCAGGTCACTGACCTATGACGTCATAAGTGAACCTCTGCACGGTCTTCAGATGTCGCAACTTCGCAACGCCCTCACTGTCAGAGGAGCTTTCACAAGGAAATGAAACCTGCAGGACCTATTATCCATTAGGAGTCTCACAACTAACATATCTCGGATTTTTCTTAAAGGTCATATGAGGTCAGGTCATTTTCGTGACCTCACCCTTAAGTCATTGGGGAAAAATGAAAACTGCTATTCTGGCGCCGGAAACGATCTCCAAATATTTCAAGCACACAGAATCATGATTTCATGCACTCCTTGCAAGATTCCATGCGTCACTTTTGCAATGTTGACCTTGTTTGACGTCATTTATGACGTCATTAGGGCCGTATTAGTTTTTCGTTAATAACTCCCGATCAAATTGAGCTACCGAGTCGGAAAAGCCACCAATCGACTCAGAGAGACCTGCCGAATCGAATCATATGCGACATGACCTCCTTCGATCAATTTCGTGACCTGGAGGCGCTGACCTGACCGTGACACGAGGTCAACGCAATAAGTTGACCTCACCCAAGCAAAAAGTAGGTACCGTAAACCGGGGTGAGTTGATATGGATTTTGAGGTTATTCTAGATTTCTTTAAAAGCCACATTCATTTACGGAATTCTTTTTGTGACAGTTTCATGGCACATGCCTTGGGGAGGCAATCAGCAAAAATGAATAAAAAATGTATATATTAAGCCCCTTTTTTAAAACGCCAAAGTTCATATCAACTCACCACCCCCTAGGGGGTGAGTTGATATGATTTTGGATTTTTCAAAATTTCTCGGCTAAAGAAGCTCAGAGGTGAGTTGATAAAATGCCAGTGTTTAAAAAAAGGATGAGAGAACACATCCTGAAAGAAACCATTAGAAAAATGATAGTAGTTTGGCAGCAGACCTCACATTCATGAAAACGCAATCATGTCCAACACAGCGCTATAAAAATGGCTTGATTTTAGCAGCATCATTTTTTCGCTTTATGATACTTAGTTTTACTTAGAACATTCTGAACTTGGCTAGTCACGTGTCCTCAAGCCAACGGTATCAAAACTGGCAATATATTTTGGAATTACAAGTGTACTTTCTTGTAATTAAAACACATTGTCAGTTGCGGGTCAAGGTTGATATGCCGCTGACAGAAATAATGGATTAAAATGAAAGAATACATATACTTCTAAGCTTTTGTGGACTGGTAGTCAACAAAATATTTATGAAGTGATTTGAAGCGAATCTAATTCGGACTGTATTCTATCAGGTGAAATAAGCGACATAAAACAGAATTCGGCATCAAAAGCCAAAATTAACCCTCGCACTTTTAGGCGGGCGAACGGACCACCTCGGCTTTTCGCACATAACTCGCGCAAAAAGCGGCCGATCGCGACGAAACTTTCAGTGCCTCTCGAGTTTATCATTTTTACACATGTTCTTAAGATTTCATGACCCTGACTCAAATGGTTTTTGACTTGTGACCTGATTCTCGAGACCATGCTTGGCCGGAATCGCGATTTGGCGTAGTCGGCTCACATTATCCGCGCATTTCCTGTATTTTTGTGATTGTAACGTCCAAACATGTAAATGATGTTGGTCCCATGCAGTATTGTGGGTGTTAACTGTCAAGGTCACCTGAAGGTCAGGTCATTGACCTTTGGTGACCTCGGCTCACTTTTGGAGTTTTACATGTTTCTAGGGTAGTTTTTTTCGGGCCGATGTCGAATTTAACATGCATTTGATCATTTACGAAGTAGTTTTAGTGCCTTCGTAACATGTTACAACACCGTCAGTGGTAGTTGACACCTGACACACTCCCTATGGATAGCCGGCAGGACACCTACTGGTTGACCTGACCTGACCTGGCCTGGCCTAAATGTACGAAGACACATGTGATCAAAACAAACATGACATTCGTGATCAGTAACAGCCAAAAAATAATAACCTCGCTTTACGAACTTCAAATAACCCCTTATTTTCCCGACTTCTGGGTAATTGACCTGGCCTGGAAGGTTAACCAATGACCTAGGACCTTAAAGTTGGTTATCATCGGCTTCCTCGCGTCTCGGGCAACACGCTCGTTTTTTCCTCGAAGCTCTAGCTCCACCAGGGGCCAAACGACGATGGGATTCCAACGGACCCCCCCCCCCCCCCTTATACGTTAAACGCTGACAAAACACGAATACAGGCGAGGGCTAAAACACCAGTCAATTTCTTTATATTGTTTGTTCCATTTCATTTTGCCACTCATTCTCGGTTGGCAACTGCCCAGCAGGAAAACTAATAAGTTTCACGAGATCAGAATTCCCGCGCTGTTAGCCATACAGAAACGACAGTTCTGTCATTTTCGAAACCACGAATAATAAAACTTTTTTTTAATCTGTATGTATATAGGTGTTCTATAGTGTTCCTTTGTAGCTTGTAGGGAGCCATCTTGAGACTTGACAGGGAGTTGTGCTGACTGCTGTGCCTTTTTCATGTTAGGTATGTCCACAGAAAAAAAAACTTTGGGGTCGCTGATGTTAGTTGTCGGACCTTCGTCCCCGTCTTGAGTTGAGAATTGAGATGTTAGTTTCAAACGTTTCGGCCAGTTACTCTCCGGCCGTCGTCACTCGTCAGGTGTTCTTAGAAGGACCTGGATGTTGGTGGCGTTGCGCCGTACGCGTCCAACCGTTCGAAAGCTCCTGTAGTCAGCGGGAATCGAACTCGGGTTTTCCCGGTGATGGTCCACGGTTCTAACCACTCCACTATCGAGGCAGATTTGACTATGGCGGGAGAAGTTACTTGCTGAAACGTTGTGAAACTAACATCTCAACTCAAGACGGGGACAAAAGTCCGACAACTAACATCAGTGATACTAACAGGCCTCGTCTCAAGCATCCAGAAAAAAAAAAAACTAAAGCTTTTGGGGGTTGATGGAATGATGTGGGGAGAGAAAAGGAGAAGAGTTGGTCTAATTGACTTTGTCTTACTTGCAGACCCATATTTCATGCTAATTTGCATGCATACCAGCCTGGTATCAGCTTTTATCATGCATATCAACTCACCACTTGATGGCATATCAACTCACCACCTGTCACTTTTCTTAAAATTATAAAAAAGCGTTGTTATAGGTGAAACCCAAAACTACCTGGGATCAACAGTAAATTGATGGTAGTTTCTTTCCCAGTGCATGTTGTTCCATGAATATCCACCGTCTTTGCTGTAGGGTGGGGACTTTTCCTTAGTTTCAAAATCAGAAGAAAAAAAGGACTTTGAAAAAAGTAATGTGTTAAGAAGGCACTGCACCACATGCATGCCTTTCTCAGCTCAATGCATCCCTTATTGGATGCTTCACTTCACAGAGAAATAAAACTAAAAATTGGTTTACAAATGGATGAGCAGCACACATTTTAACATTTTTCGAGCAATTTATATCAACTCACCACCCCATATCAACTCACCCCGGTTTACGGTATATCATTCCACGCGCCTGAGCGAGGCGAACACGATACTGCCAAAATCGTGGCTCTGCGACCATTTTTTGCGAAGTTATTCACCAACAACGGAACCGTACATACCTTGGGGCACTTGACTTGACCTCAGAGGTCACCGGCTGACCTAGGCCTTAAAATCGGGTATCAATCTCTGCGTCTCGTAACGGCGCACACGCTCATTATCTTTTCGCGACGCGCTGGCTCCACCACGGGCGAAACGGTGAGGGGGTCGTAACCGCCCACTCCCCCCTCGGCCGACGCGTACGTAGAAAACCAATAGGTCCGGCGAGGGTTAATATCTGAATGGAATATTGAAAATAAAGTGTGTTCACTACTACTCGACCTCGACCCTGAGTTAGCAATATAAATGGACGTGGTCACCATACTTTTAGCTACGTTAGAAATGTTTCCTGACAAACATTCCTATAATGAGCTGTTTTCCATGACTTCTTTAATTACTTAGTTAGACGAAAAGCTAAAAGAGCCCCCTCTTCGGGCCCTGGTGATCGGGATTGCTCCCGTGCTCAGCGGGGCTAGCGGTAAATAAAACTTTAGAAAGGTTATGGAGCATTAGTGGTGACTGAAGGCTCTTTGGCGGGTGGTGGACAGTGGTGACTGCTAGATGGTGATTCGCTGGCGTGACCGGCGGGTGGTGACTGGTGACTCACCGGCTGGTGATGAACGGTTGCGACTGGTGACTCACCGACTGGTGATCGGTCGTGCACCAGCACCAGGTGAGACGCGTCCTGGGCGCTCAGAAGGTCCCACACCAGTTGCTGCACGCCGCTCCAGGCGGAGCCGCACGCCGCTACTCCGGTCAGCAGAGAGCAGAGCAGGAGCGGCTGGCAGAGCCACACAGCGGCCGTCATACCGCCCAGCTCAGACCGGGTGCCGCCGGCAGCAATCAGTCGTTACTTATTATGGCGAATTCGCAGCAGTGCCCAGAAAGGGAGCTGGAAACTGAAAGGGTCCAGTAAAAAAAGTATGTTTTAACGCAACAAATATACAACTTAATGTTAAAAAATCATGTTCACATTAGCAAAGGCCCAAACCATTGCTGACGTGGTACAGTATGTTTGCTGTTTAAATAGGTACCATTGCTGTACCAGGTACCTATATATCTGTGTTTCACCAATTTGCCGGTATTTTGCCTCCTCGAGTATTTTCAGTAGATATCTCCGAAATGTCTATTACTGTTCTCTATTTCTATTTGCCTAGTTCACCAAAAATGATATCTGAGGCCAGATTTACCAACAGAAAAATAGCCGCCTGCCGGAATTTTTTGCCTGAAGACCGCTTCACATACGGAGCGTAAGCGCTGGGCCCGTAAGCGGATAGGGCTTCACCGTTTACGCTCCGTATGTGAAACAGTTTTTAGGCCAAAAATTCCAGCAGGCGGCTATTTTTCTGTTGGTAAAACTGGCCTCTGATCTCGGTGGTTCATGGATATATTTTTCTATAGACGATAGCCTTCGCCAGTCTCACCTTTTCACCTTGGATGGAGCAGCAATTCTGGATGGAGCTGGATGGATTGCGATGGGCGCCCACCGCTCGGTGGCGGGCTGCGCTCTGAGGGCCGTCAGCCCAACTGGTCGGGTGCCGGTCGGCCGACGGGCCGACGGGCGGCTGGCCGATGACTAGGGGGGGGGGGGGAGCCGTGCAAACGGCCGCTCCCAGGGCACCAGGCTTGGGGCTGGCCTTCTCTTCTTCGTGAGAGTCTCCAGCGGCGTCGCGTAGTGGTGTTCATACAGCCTTTGGTCATCGGCAGTTTTCATATGTGCTGCTGAGCATCGAAGCCCAATCATGCATCTCGTGGCATAATACAAGTAGGTTTTCGCGCTATTCCCCCGTGATTTGTAAATTTTGAAGACAAAAAAATGTTGTCATATATCGAAACGTAATGTCAAATCTGGAAAAATATGTTATCTGACTATACCTACATACTATTGTTAAAATTAATCAAAGTGCTGGCGAGTGTTTTGCTGCGATGTTGTCGTTCAGTTAGTTTCACCTCAGGCTCTAATAAGTCAAATGGTTCAAAAATGTCAAATCAGGAAATTTTGAACTTGTCTACTTTCAGAGCCCTTTGATCTGAGCCCCAAGAATGGCAATAGTACAGGTCTTGCGCGTTTTAGCGGTAGGTTTTGCACCTATAAAATTGAGTGTACTTCAGGCTATATCTTCGTCGTCTTAAGCTTTTAAGTGTTGAAGATGCGATCGACTTGTTAAGTAACAAGCCGGCCATGATCGTGTAAAATGGCTTCATCGTAGATCGATTAGTTTCTGAGATATAACCGGAAATGTAAAAGTGCAAAACTTACCGCTTAATCTATGTACTTACGTCCTCGGTAATCTTCCAGATTTCGGAACATTGTTAGCCGCTGGACGACATGCGTGGGGGCCGGGTCAGGTCAGGGAGTGGATGCCGAATTAGGTCCCCGTGCAATGTTCCAGCACACGCTCACGCCTCGAGTTGTTACGATGTTGCACCGTCACGGCGCCGGAAGAGGGGGCTAAATTCCGTGCTGCGAACTGATTCAAATGTCTGCGACCACTCCCGCGGCTCCTCGGCTCTGCTACAGATGCCTCGCTGGCACAAAATGACCTACATGCAGATATTGGAAATTGATCGATTTAAAGATCCACGACTAACACCACTTAGGTACCTACCTACTTCCCAATGTTCAGGCACCGCATTTTTTTTAGTATGTGCTTACAAATACTACTCAGACGCAGCTCCTTCATCTCCATCGCATCACTTTGTCGCTTTGCACGTGCGTCGTTTTATGTGTCGGAAAGTCTCAGACCTTGTGTTTGTATGTACACAAGACTTATCGCAGCGCGCCGCTCCTCGCAGTGAATGCCGAATTAGGGCCCCCATTCAATGTTCCTGGGTGCCTCTAAGTGGTATTATTGTAACTTGCATGAGCTGCTCATCGGACGTTTACCGTTTTCGTTTATGAGGGCCATAAATCAATATTGCCATGGATCCTCATCGTAGAGTAGATAGGCCTTGTGTTTTCAAGGCATCCAGGCACCTATGTAGATATACATCAATTTTATTCTTCGCGCCGGACCTATCGAATTTCGAGAAGGAGGGTGTGGAAATCTCTTGCCGTGTCATCCTATCGAGCAGGAGGCTCGCGGAAAGAAAACATGTGTATACGCTTGTTAGCGACACATATATGTACCGTTATGAGCCGGGCGATTGCTTTGCGAATTTAAGATCTAAGGTCAGCTGGTGAATTCTGAGGTCAGGTCAAGTTGTTATTTAGTAGGTGTTCGGTTTTGGTAGATATTCTCACCACAAAAGGTGGCAGAGCCGCTTTTTTGGCCGAAACAGAGCCACGCAGAGACCATCGTGTATGTACTTCACGTCCTGGCGCGTCGAATGCTAAATTTTTAGCTTGGGTGAGGTCAAGTTAGAGTGCTGACCTCGGGTCAAAGTCAGGTCAAAGTCACTCAGGCCACAAAATTGGTCGAAAGCGATTATGTTGCGTATCAAATGGGGAGGCCATGTCCTCCTGGCCTACTCCGGATACACCACTCCCTCAAGCATTTTGGTTTCGGGGGACGTGTCCCCTCCGACCTCCGACCCCGCGGTGGTCGGAGGTCGGAATGGGAATTCCATGGGAATGGCGCGTGTGATTGTGAGCATTCGTCAGTACACTCTCGTTGATATAGCGAAAGAGAAAATAGCTGTCGATATGGACGTCTAAAAGAAAACTGAAATCCGTGGCGTCCAAAACAGTAAAAAGACCCCAAAACAGGGTTGTATACCAATCAAGTCGATTGAATTGATTGATTTGATTCAACGCGTATTTTGAGTTGATTGGATTGAGTCGATTGACTTTTCAAGATGACTGGTTGACTGACTCGTTTGACTTTAGCGACTGGTTGACTGATTTGATTCCCGAAAATTAGAGTGACTCGTATGATTGAGTCGATTGAATGGAAAGTTCAAATAAGTTTTAGTTACGAAAAATAATGACACCAATTGATGACATCAAAGATCACAAAACTACACTGAAAACTGCTTGTCATCACAAGTGCAATATGGGGTAGATGGCCAAATAAAGAACAGGGCCTAAACATGAACAGCCAACTTTGACTTTCAACTGCAATAACTGCTCCAATCCTGGTGACAGAACCTGGTGATGCACCTACCTACCTTTCTGCACTCAGCAGGAAACGTTTTTTTTTAATCCAGATGATAAAGTGCAAGGCCCTATATACTAATAAAGTGTGATTAATTAATAATTCACATCTCCACATCTCCTCAGAAACAACCCACTGAACTCTATAAATATCTGAAACCCACGTTCGTATAATTGCATGCAGATTGATATCAATCTCGTACATGCAGATTCCGGACAATTTCAAATCGGCTCAAAATGGGCATATAGACCAAACAGGATACGCTGATCACGAATCCGAAGTCCGTTCCGCGGCACATATGAAACTTTTCCCGGAATTTCCGAATCCCGAATCTGCATGCGGATTCCGGACAATTTCAAATCGGCTCAAAATGGGCATATAGACCAAACAGGATACGCTGATCACGAATCCGAAGTCCGTTCCGCGGCACATATGAAACTTTTCCCGGAATTTCCGAATTCCGAATCTGCATGCAGATTCCGGACAATTTCAAATCGGCTCAAAATGGGCATATAGACCAAACAGGATACGCTGATCACGAATCCGAAGTCCGTTCCGCGACACATATGAAACTTTTCCCGGAATTTCCGAATCCCGAATCTGCATGCGGATTCCGGACAATTTCAAATCGGCTCAAAATGGGCATATAGACCAAACAGGATACGCTGATCACGAATCCGAAGTCCGTTCCGCGGCACATATGAAACTTTTCCCGGAATTTCCGAATCCCGAATCTGCATGCGGATTCCGGACAATTTCAAATCGGCTCAAAATGGGCATATAGACCAAACAGGATACGCTGATCACGAATCCGAAGTCCGTTCCGCGGCACATATGAAACTTTTCCCGGAATTTCCGAATCCCGAATCTGCATGCAGATTCCGGACAATTTCAAATCGGCTCAAAATGGGCATATAGACCAAACAGGATACGCTGATCACGAATCCGAAGTCCGTTCCGCGGCACATATGAAACTTTTCCCGGAATTTCCGAATTCCGAATCTGCATGCAGATTCCGGACAATTTCAAATCGGCTCAAAATGGGCATATAGACCAAACAGGATACGCTGATCACGAATCCGAAGTCCGTTCCGCGGCACATATGAAACTTTTCCCGGAATTTCCGAATTCCGAATCTGCATGCAGATTCCGGACAATTTCAAATCGGCTCAAAATGGGCATATAGACCAAACAGGATACGCTGATCACGAATCCGAAGTCCGTTCCGCGGCACATATGAAACTTTTCCCGGAATTTCCGAATCCCGAATCTGCATGCGGATTCCGGACAATTTCAAATCGGCTCAAAATGGGCATATAGACCAAACAGGATACGCTGATCACGAATCCGAAGTCCGTTCCGCGGCACATATGAAACTTTTCCCGGAATTTCCGAATTCCGAATCTGCATGCAGATTCCGGACAATTTCAAATCGGCTCAAAATGGGCATATAGACCAAACAGGATACGCTGATCACGAATCCGAAGTCCGTTCCGCGGCACATATGAAACTTTTCCCGGAATTTCCGAATCCCGAATCTGCATGCGGATTCCGGACAATTTCAAATCGGCTCAAAATGGGCATATAGACCAAACAGGATACGCTGATCACGAATCCGAAGTCCGTTCCGCGGCACATATGAAACTTTTCCCGGAATTTCCGAATTCCGAATCTGCATGCAGATTCCGGACAATTTCAAATCGGCTCAAAATGGGCATATAGACCAAACAGGATACGCTGATCACGAATCCGAAGTCCGTTCCGCGGCACATATGAAACTTTTCCCGGAATTTCCGAATCCCGAATCTGCATGCGGATTCCGGACAATTTCAAATCGGCTCAAAATGGGCATATAGACCAAACAGGATACGCTGATCACGAATCCGAAGTCTGTTCCGCGGCACATATGAAACTTTTCCCGGAATTTCCGAATTCCGAATCTGCATGCAGATTCCGGACAATTTCAAATCGGCTCAAAATGGGCATATAGACCAAACAGGATACGCTGATCACGAATCCGAAGTCCGTTCCGCGGCACATATGAAACTTTTCCCGGAATTTCCGAATCCCGAATCTGCATGCGGATTCCGGACAATTTCAAATCGGCTCAAAATGGGCATATAGACCAAACAGGATACGCTGATCACGAATCCGAAGTCTGTTCCGCGGCACATATGAAACTTTTCCCGGAATTTCCGAATTCCGAATCTGCATGCAGATTCCGGGCAATTTCAAATCGGCTCAAAATGGGCATATAGACCAAACAGGATACGCTGATCACGAATCCGAAGTCCGTTCCGCGGCACATATGAAACTTTTCCCGGAATTTCCGAATCCCGAATCTGCATGCAGATTCCGGACAATTTCAAATCGGCTCAAAATGGGCATATAGACCAAACAGGATACGCTGATCACGAATCCCAAGTCCGTTCCGCGGCACATATGAAACTTTTCCCGGAATTTCCGAATTCCGAATCTGCATGCAGATTCCGGACAATTTCAAATCGGCTCAAAATGGGCATATAGACCAAACAGGATACGCTGATCACGAATCCGAAGTCCGTTCCGCGGCACATATGAAACTTTTCCCGGAATTTCCGAATTCCGAATCTGCATGCGGATTCCGGACAATTTCAAATCGGTTAAAAATGGGCATATAGACCAAACAGGATACGCTGATCACGAATCCGAAGTCCGTTCCGCGGCACATATGAAACTTTTCCCGGAATTTCCGAATTCTGAATCTGCATGCGGATTCCGGACAATTTCAAATCGGCTCAAAATGGGCATATAGACCAAACAGGATACGCTGATCACGAATCCGAAGTCCGTTCCGCGGCACATATGAAACTTTTCCCGGAATTTCCGAATTCCGAATCTGCATGCAGATGGATGGACGGACTTCGGATTCGTGATCAGCGTATCCTGTTTGGTCTATATGCCCATTTTTAACCGATTTGAAATTGTCCGGAATCCGCATGCAGATTCGGAATTCGGAAATTCCGGGAAAAGTTTCATATGTGCCGCGGAACGGACTTCGGAGTTGTGATCAGCGTATCCTGTTTGGTCTATATGCCCATTTTGAGCCGATTTGATATTGTCCGGAATCCGCATGCAGATTCGGAATTCGGAAATTCCGGGAAAAGTTTCATATGTGCCGCGGAACGGACTTCGGATTCGTGATCAGCGTATCCTGTTTGGTCTATATGCCCATTTTGAGCCGATTTGAAATTGTCCGGAATCTGCATGCAGATTCGGGATTCGGAAATTCCGGGAAAAGTTTCATATGTGCCGCGGAACGGACTTCGGATTCGTGATCAGCGTATCCTGTTTGGTCTATATGCCCATTTTGAGCCGATTTGAAATTGTCCGGAATCTGCATGCAGATTCGGAATTCGGAAATTCCGGGAAAAGTTTCGTATGTGCCGCGGAACGGACTTCGGATTCGTGATCAGCGTATCCTGTTTGGTCTATATGCCCATTTTGAGCCGATTTGAAATTGTCCGGAATCTGCATGCAGTTTCGGGATTCGGAAATTCCGGGAAAAGTTTCATATGTGCCGCGGAACGGACTTCGGATTCGTGATCAGCGTATCCTGTTTGGTCTATATGCCCATTTTGAGCCGATTTGAAATTGTCCGGAATCTGCATGCAGATTCGGGATTCGGAAATTCCGGGAAAAGTTTCATATGTGCCGCGGAACGGACTTCGGATTCGTGATCAGCGTATCCTGTTTGGTCTATATGCCCATTTTGAGCCGATTTGAAATTGTCCGGAATCCGCATGCAGATTCGGAATTCGGAAATTCCGGGAAAAGTTTCATATGTGCCGCGGAACGGACTTCGGATTCGTGATCAGCGTATCCTGTTTGGTCTATATGCCCATTTTGAGCCGATTTGAAATTGTCCGGAATCTGCATGCAGATTCGGAATTCGGAAATTCCGGGAAAAGTTTCATATGTGCCGCGGAACGGACTTCGGATTCGTGATCAGCGTATCCTGTTTGGTCTATATGCCCATTTTGAGCCGATTTGAAATTGTCCGGAATCTGCATGCAGATTCGGGATTCGGAAATTCCGGGTAAAGTTTCATATGTGCCGCGGAACGGACTTCGGATTCGTGATCAGCGTATCCTGTTTGGTCTATATGCCCATTTTGAGCCGATTTGAAATTGTCCGGAATCTGCATGCAGATTCGGAATTCGGAAATTCCGGGAAAATTTTCATATGTGCCGCGGAACGGACTTCGGATTCGTGATCAGCGTATCCTGTTTGGTCTATATGCCCATTTTGAGCCGATTTGAAATTGTCCGGAATCTGCATGCAGATTCGGAATTCGGAAATTCCGGGAAAAGTTTCATATGTGCCGCGGAACGGACTTCGGATTCGTGATCAGCGTATCCTGTTTGGTCTATATGCCCATTTTGAGCCGATTTGAAATTGTCCGGAATCTGCATGTACGAGATTGATATCAATCTGCATGCAATTATACGAACGTCTGAAACCCCTACAAAAATAACTGAAACAAAAGCGCCGTTTTCGTCTCGCTAATTACGTTTACTAATTTGCTGCATTGTTTAATTTGCAGCAGAACGTTTGTTGATCCTTTTCTCCTGAGAGCCTAAGCATAACATATTTAATACATTTCATTTTCCTTAAAATATTTTACCGAATATTATTAAGTGGTTCAATTTCAAATGAAATAATAATTAAAACGAAATTGGTGTTGTACAACCGATTTATTTTATGATGATCTACCATACTACATGATAATCAATGACGTCATCTTACCAAAAAATCAAAAGACGTAGAATAAGGATTTATAAAAGCTTAGCATACTTATTGGCGAAACGTTTTCTTTGTATTTTTTTCGCAGTCGCACCGTGCCGTTTTCGCGTTTTAATTTTCTTTTTTCTTCTTCCTTTGTCCTTAACTTATCCTGTGGTTCCAGAGTCCCTGTCCTCTCCATTTCCTTTTAAATATATTTTTGATGCTCATCCCTATCCCCCAGTCCTAACAGTTTCAAATTGTATTGCAATAAAATGTTTTGAATTCTTCACACATAACCTATCTACCTTCGTTGGTACTGTTGGTAGCCGGTGACACATCTAGGGGGTAAGTAGGTACCTACCTGCTTTCCGGCTGTCTTCATAAAGCATACCTAATGAAGTCAAATTTGTAGCACATTGACATTTTCAACACCTTCATATGGTGTCAGTGTGGCGTGAAACCTAGCTAGGTTCATTATGTTCAGGGTTCAATTCAGAGGAGCTCCGCATAACTCACATAAGAGGCAGACAGGGGCTTTACATGGGGTAGATGGCCTGATGACTTAGCTGGAATATGGCCAAAATTAAATTGACAACTTTTAGGTGAAAGGTGGTCATTTGGGTTAAGGGGCGTTCAGTTTGTTGAAGTCAACTTAAACTACTGGGTTATTTTGCACCCATTAAATGAAACTTCTGCTCCAGCCTCCAATTCTACCCATTGAACCTCAATATCATGATCCACCTGTCCATCACTAGGTATCCTTCCTTATTACATAGAAACTTTGAATGGCATGGCAATTTATAATTTTAAATGGCAATATTTTTATGTTTCTTCTGTAGGTAGGTAGGCAGGTAGGTAGGTACACCAGACTGCTATGGACACTTTTCCAAGTTGGTGGGGCAAAAACCTAATGTATGTCTTGGTTTGAGTCGTTTGATTGAGTTGATTGATTCCTTTCATTGTCGCGTTTGAGTCGATTGAATCAATTCCCGAAAACTGCTCTGACTTGATTGATTTGATTGGTTTCCCAAATTTGTCGTGATTGAATTGATTGCTATTGATTGAATCGTATACAACCCTGCCCCAAAAGCACAGCTAAGATAAAACCACCGACAACATATTTCGCGTTACGATCAGTATTTCTTTCTTTGGATAATTTATGCACCTTCCCTCTGTTTTCGATGTTAGAAAGCCGAATTGATTCCCCTACCTAGAGCGGATTATGGGGGGGGGGGGACAAGAAACAGTACGTCCCCCAGCATTTTAGTTGGATGGGAGGGGGACACGTTGGCAGATTCCTTGCTGACTTCTGTTTGTGCGATGCTAAATGCCTAAGATCATTCTAACGATGGACGTTTTATGTGTTAAAACATACAGACATTATGATATGGTGTACAGATATTATATATACACATGCTTCCCGCTGGGCTAGTTTTTTGGTCATTCTTTATTGATCACCCATATCACCGCAACCGATCAATAAGAAGCCTCCGACACATAGTGATAGCTTGAACGATGAGAAGCTGAGGACCAAGGCCCAGGAGCTCCAACCCTGCAGCTCCCACACCGGTGCTAGACGGTGCGGTGCTGCCGTGTGTACAAGAAGCGGGCAGCGTCTGGCGATGGCCGTCACCAGAGTCGCCGGATGGCGGCCGCCTCCTATGGTCGCCCCGGGGACATCCGGAGCGGCCCAGGTACACCCGGTGTAGGTGTTACGGCGGCGGCACGGGTGTCGCGTGGTTCAGATCCGAGTGACAAGGAGGCATCACAACAAGTCTTTGTGAAGGTGGAGGAACGTGTTACTGATCTGAAAAGCATATCATCACACAAAGAGCATGCACGCACATTTACTATAAGCCAAATGCGTCGCATCATGCCACCTTTGAAAGCAATGTTCACACGGGGACGGTTTCTATGTCCTTTGCTGGGCTGCACTCTGGTGGCGACATTGGCAGGTGAAAGTGTGCCACGTACGCCGACAGGAGGCACCAAGCCAAGAAGAAAATGAAGCAGGCAACACCAGTTTGAGCGTAGATGACGGGAAACAGGAGGCCGATGAAACAGTTGGACACCCAGATCGCAGCTGAGCCGGCGGAGACGGCTAGCGCCCGCGGACCCTGCTCGAACAGCTCTGAAAACAGGAAACTTTATATCAGGGGCATAACGTGAAGCACAGCGAAGTGAAGTATTTAGATTCTTTAATATATAATAAAAGGACTCATTATATAAGATGACTTTAAAGTCCCACTATTTAGATTCTATATTTATTGACACAAGAAAAAGTGTAAACAAAAATTCGGGCCACTGTGCTTCTGGCCAAAAACGGCCATCGAGTAATCGGGAGCGAAACGCCCGCTCTCCCTTTTTGTCGATTACTTCTAAAGTATTGTAGATATCGTTACCAAACTTTCAGAACACATCCGGGCATCAATTTTGCGCCTTGCGGTCAAAAACGTTTCCAGAGACTTCGATAGCTTTGCCACAAATGACGTCAGAATGACGTCATGTTCTGCCTTTTTTCAATAAAAAAAAAGGTTTTGCAGGAAGAACTCTTAGCACTTACAGCTTTGAAGATACAAAAAAAATGCATCATTAAAAAAGGTGTAAAATTAGCAGGGCTACTAAAGTTATCTATCAAATATTAGGAAATTTTGGTATTTGATCCCCTCCCCCAAAATAAATTATTTGTTTGACATAATATCCTAAGCATACCAATTTTTCAAACTCTTGCAAAAAAAAAATCAGAATATATGTTATAGAACCCAAGGGCATCCATCGGTCACCGATTGTTTATATTATCGTTTGTATGGCACGTAAGGGCAGCATGTTCAAATTACCCCACGGTGGAGCAATTTGAACACACCGTGACTTGGTAAAGAAGTGAGGCTATACTATTCAAGATATGCTCGGCTCGTCCAAAAATGAGGTATGCATGTGGTTAAAGCAAGCAACATTTGCGCTACTGGAACAGTTTTCCTTCATCCAGGGCTGAGCTGGAATTTGGTACGACGGAGAAAACTTAAAGATATGATGTTCAAATTACCCCACCCTACCCTTGCCATCAAGATCACCACACAGCCGATGGCGAAAGGACCCGAGGCTTTGCCCTTAGGCTAACTGAACATGGACGCCTTTGTCGGCTGACCTACCGGTGCCGAGCATCCAAGGAATGGTGCCAAATCCGGAGGCGAACGACATGACGAACGCGATGAGGAAGATGACGGCACAGGCGGCCGCCCAGTTGTACCACTCCTGTGAACGGTCAGCAGCGGGACTCAGTGGGCGGAACGTTTGAAGAACTTAATTTGAAGAAGTCGTGCTTGCAGAATGAGTGTGAAGTTACGCACTTAGCTTTGCTTCTGTTTAATTGATTTGTTGTGGATATATGGATCCTGAGAAGAAAGAAATTCAGCCTGAGAAGAGTAGCCTTTCCTTGGGAGAGTCAAATGAATAAACGGCATGTCTTCACATGCTATTACCTACTTGCTGCTACTGAACACTGAACAGCCGTGTGCATAGCATGGAAAAATATTAAATAGTATCTAGGTATACTGATTGGTGCCCTTGCAAAGAGCTTAGTTCTAAAAATAGGAATAAAACCGAATAAATTCATTGACTTTTCCCCCAAAAGTTTATTAACGAAACTAATTAATTCGAACAACACCCAGCTTTTGGTTGTAACAAAGATAATTATCACAAACACTTAAGAGTGGTTTTTGAAGAACTTATCACGGATTGGTGTCTTACAACCAGTGAGAGATAGGAACAGAAGCCGCGACTGGGCATGCAGCTGCGCTCGGCAGGCGCAGCGTCCACTGACCATAAGGCGGAGCGCTCCAGCGAAGGCGGCCAGGCAGACGGCGGAGCCGAGGCAGCTGGCCGTCAGCAGACGCTTCAGCGGCACGCGCGCCACGCCCAGGCCGAGCAGCAGCGTCAGCGCCACATTCGCCACGCCGTAGCCCACCGCGGCGAGCGCCGCCTGCGACTGGCTCAGGCCGGCCCGCTGGAAAATGGCCGTGGAAAAGAAGAACACCTGCCGACAAATTAGGGCTAGTCAGAGGCGTTCAGGGGTATCGTGGCAGTACTTAACCCGCGCCCCACTGGGGTCTGCGTATAACACGCCCTACTGGGGGGGGGGGCTCTTCATAGCCCCCCCCCCTCCTAACTCCGAAACTACTGGGCCGATCGTAAAAATTCAAACGGCGTCTGATAGCCCCGGAAAAACTGTCGAGCCAAACCTAATTTCATTGACCTCGAGGTCACCAATGACGTCACAGGTCAGGTCAAAGTAAAAATTATTAGCATTTTGGCTTGTTCACGTTTTGGGCTCTGGCCGCCGTCTTACAAGTCAGATCAGGCTCATTTCTGGTTACCACACTCTTGAACAGATGCTCTAGATACCCTGCGGGTACCAAACTTGTACTTTGATTTTCAGGTCAAGGTCAGGTCATCACAGGTCACGAAAATATTGCATCATGCGTCGGTCACGTGACACATGTTTTATGGTCCATTTAGGCCAAAGATTTCGAATTTGATGTCGTCTGTGTCATTCGAGGTCATTTTGAGTCGAATTTAGCTTAGGTCAGGTCACTTTCAGGTCAAAAAGGTCAAATTTTGAAGTTAATATTTTTCAACAAAAAAGGTGTCTATTGGATGCAGTTTGAGCTCAGGAACACGATGGTGCTATTTATATAGGCATACGATGTCAAATACGTGCTGAAAAATTGATTTGAAAAATTAATAATTGTGAGTTTTTGCAATAATGCGTATAACTTGGCCATTTTTGAAGATATGTAGCTAAAACTTGCTGGAGTTAGTCATAATAATGCGTTCTATCACATATATTCCGGTGTTTTCGAAAAGTCGAAAAAAATGAAAAAAAATGTAAAAATATAAATTTTGAATTTTATTATAAAGAATTTTCGAAATTTACAAGATTTCGAAAATCCGAGATAACAGTTTGATAGCGCAGTCTATTATGAGTCCTCTCATGCAAAGAAATTGGATCTAGCTTAAAAACTGAGCTCTTGGGAGCGATTGCCGTGGTTCAATGTTTTGCGTCGAAATCGGCCGAACATGACGTCACTCTGACGTCATTTCCGGCCGACCTATGGTAGCTAAGAAGTTCAAAGTTTGACACAACGTTTCAAATTGATGCAGTCGAAGGTACTGAAAGTTTGGCGTCGATACGTCAAGCCATAGACCACTATATATCACCACCAGATATATATTGACCAGATATATATTGACCAGACCAGATATATAGTGGTCTATGGTCAAGCGGTTTGGAAGTTATTGCAGAAAAACTGGAGGGGGGGGGGCTATGAATAGCCCCCCCCCCCAGTGGGGCGCGGGTTAACTACTTACAGCACGAGGAGGGCCCGTGGTAATATGATACCTTAGTCGCGGAGGCGATTGGCCTGCCCAGATCGCCTCCGCGACACCTCGGAAATCCACCGTCCCCCAGCTGGGTCGCCTCCCCCCCCCCTCGGCCGGACTCACGGCCGTGATGCCGGATGAGGGCTGGCCGACGCAGATGACCAGCAGCGCCAGGAGCCGGCGCCGGCACACGGCGTCGGCCAGCAGTGCCCGCAGCGTCCAGCGCGGCGTCTCTGCCGTCAGCTTGGCCTCGGCCTGGTGGTCGCTCAGCTCGGAGGACAGCGCATGAGGCGGCAGCCCGCGCAGACGGCTCAGCGCTGCCGGAACGGGGGTGGTCGGCCGCTCGACAGATTGTACAGTCGCGTACAGATTGATTCATAGGTACTCTATACCCACTACCCACTGGGTCAGATTGTACAATCGCGTACAGATTGATCGATAAGTATTATAAACCCATCGGGTACTTGTCGCCCCATCAGGCGCATTACTGGTAGTTTTGGTTCATGGACTTCATGGTTGTAAGGTCATACACAGTTGGGCTGATCTTAGAGGGGTGTTCGAAAGAGAGTGTTCAAGACCTCCCCTAACAAGGCGTAGAAATCCAGGAGGCTCAGCGGGGCTAAAGGTAAGACAGACTGATGAATTCACGTGATGTGATCATGGTACATATTAGTGGTGTCAATCGGAACTTGAAACTTCGGAATTCCGATTTTGTCCAATATGTCCAATTCGGAATTCGGTTGGACAATGACAGCAGGCTTTGGACATCTTTGGACAATCGCTTGCTACACCTCAACATTTTTATTAATTAATCATGTTCAACATTGATTGGCTATTAGAAAGCTCTGTTTTCGATATGATAACACTTTTGAGCTGGTAACGGTACATTAAAAGCAAATTAAACATCAGTGTTGAGCGTAAACTATTACTTAGGTGTCGGACATCTTTGGACAAATGGCTGGCTTGGGCATTTTTGGACGGACAGTCGACGTAAGTGCTGGACATTGGACAGATATTGGACACACGTTTTCTGAAATTGACACCACTAGTACATATACATACTGACGGCCTGAGCCCATGCACCCACAGCGAGGCAAACAGCCGAGCCGACCCTATACAGCTCAATGCCTGCGCGAGGCCCTGTTCACCGAATTGGCGCGGCCAGTCAGTGGCAGCGTCAGTTCTGCCCACCTGAGAGCGCGTCCGGCTCGCTTCCTTTGTTGACGAGCAGGTACTTGGGGCTCTCGGGGCAGAAGGGCAGGAGTGCGGCGGCGCCGAGTGTGGGGATCAGAAACGCCACCAGCAGGTACTGCACCGTGTCCGGGCGGCCTGACGGGTAAGATAAGATAAGAGAGTACCTACATGAGAGCATTTCATCCTTTTCGCATGTCACATAGCAATCATTGCGCCTTGGGATGGCCGTAGCCAAACCGCGTTTAACCCTATTCCTGGCGGGGGGGCCTCAGGAGCCCCCCCCCCCCCGAGGTTTTTTGGCTATTTCTCCCAAACGCTTTGAGCTAGGAAGCTCAAATTTTCTGACTTTTCTCAAAAGGCTTTTACGCAACATTTCTAAAAAATTTGAGTTGATCTGACCTCAGGTCAGGTCACCAGAGGTGGTTTAGTGACCCTACCTCAGAAAAGTTTGCAATCACGCCACAGCTAGAGTTTTTGACCGATCAATTTCTTCTCTTCAGGCTTTAGTTAGGGTACCAGTATGTGCAATTTGTATCTCTCAGAATTTTCATATCTGTGACCTGAGGTCAGGCCAGACTCGTGACCTTTACATTGCAAGCCTATGGGAAAATATTGAAACGCCTCCTGCTTCGTGTAAACGAGTCAAAACCACCCAATTCTTTCAGTATTATGGAAGATTATCTCATCGGTGATGATCCTGGTGCCGCTAATTGACAGGGGCACCGGCAAAGGTCATCTGAGGTAATGTGACGTCATAAATCGTTTTTCTGTCAATAAATCACGACATGATGGTGCTAAAGACTTGTAAGTGGTACCAAACTGCTCGCCTGGTCAAGGCGCGTCGTTTGGTATGCAGCATGACCGACCATACCCCACAACTTCATTGATGAATGACCTGACCTTGACCTCAGGTCAAATTTCAAATTGACCTGTGAAGGTCATCACATACTTATTTCGCATCGCCTCGGCGAGAGCAACAAAAAATGTATTGGTTTTATGTCTCTATGTTTCTTAGTTTAAAAGTTATATAGGTAACTAGTTCCAAAACATTTTATCGTTGATGACCTCTGGTGACCTCAATATTGACCTGACCTGAAAATGTTTTATGTAAGAGTTGTAGATCTTTAAACGACCTATCAAATGCCGTTCACCGTTTGTCGCTGCGATGTGTAGTTTTTGAGATCTGAAGGGAGGCCGAATCGCCAACCCCCCCCCCCCGCCAGTTTCTTGTCCCGGCGGAGCCCGCCAGGAATAGGGTTAAACAAATGAATGTTTGAGGCAGTTACAACTTCTGTTGGGAGGCTATTCAACAGTTCAACACATCGTCGGGAAAGAATCGCTCAGGCAGATATAAGCGATTTTTCGCTTATCGCTCCGAGCGATTAGAGAAAAGAGCGCAAAACTTTTAGTAGCGAAAGCAGCACGATTGTACTTCCGTGCTTCAGCGTCTCTCATTCTCTCTCTCTCTCTCTCTCTCTCTCTCTCTCTCTCTCTCTCTCTCTCTCTCTCTCTCTCTCTCTCTCTCTCTCTCTCTCTCTCTCTCTCTCTCTCTCTCTCTCTCTCTCTCTCTCCCTCCCTCTCTCTCTCTCTCTCTCTCTCTCCCTCCCTCTCTCTCTCTCTCTCTCTCTCCCTCCCTCTCTCTCTCCCTCTAGCCGTCTACCTGGAAAGCTTGGTTTCTCTCCTACATTTCTCCGTTCCACAAGTGTACAGGGACCCCTCGCCCTTCCCTGACCTACCGAGCACTTCGGGCAGTCCCAGAACCTGCGCCAGCAGGAAGCCCATGCAGAAGCCCAGGTTGGTCACGATGCCGAGCACACTGCGCAGCCGCGGAGGCGCCACCTCATGCACGTACAGCGGACAGACAGATGACGTCAGACCTGCCGGTACAAAGCGATGACGTCAGCGGGGCTCAGTCTGGCGCTTAGTGACCCAGTAAACATGCCGACGTCGGCCCGACATCGGCTGGACGTCGGATATGCCCGCATGTTCCGACGTCCAGCCGAAGTCCAGCCGACGTCGAGCCGACGTCGGGCCGAGATCGTTTGCCGAGGTTGACGAGATCGTTTGTCGTTGGACCGACGGGGCCGACGTCGGCATGTTTATCGGGACAACGCGCCAAAAATATCAACCGGCGGCGGGATTCAAGCCCCCAGTCGCCCACGTCGGCATGTTTACTGGGACAACACGCCAAAAGCATCAGCCGGCGATGAGATTCGAACCCCGTGTCATTCGAAAGCCAGGTTAGTGCGCTAACCACTACACCACGCAGCCAGCTGACGATTTCGGTTTGTTTTGTTGGGTTATGCCCTTTCGGTCTGACAAGACCATTTCAGAGCCGGAAGGATCATAGGATGGAGACATTGGTCTCCTTCTTGGCGAGCACCCTGGGTCCAGTTCATATAGAGTCCCTGGTCCCATTGCTGTTACGTGACACTTATTGGAAAGGGCGACACCACAATGGATTCATATAGCCACTCTTACACACCTGCACCAACGTTTCCCAAAGTGTCCCTTGGCACTTTGGCAAAGTGACACTTGCCGACTGGCCTTTCTATATGAACTGGGCCCGGCCCTGGTGAGTTGCCGGGGCTGAGCCTGACCAAAGGAGCCCCCAAGCACTCACCGCACCCGGCTACAGGCGAGCTCGGCTTACGGGCAATCCCAAATGGGATAAAGTTTCCCGTCCAGTCCGGATCAGGGGGTTGCGGCGTGGAGGAAGATTTGAGTTTCCTGAGGATATTTTGAATAGGTACAGAAGTTCTTTATGAAACATGAAACATGCATTTTATATTATTTAACGGTCAAAACAGCGGGGGCATTCCACGATAGATCGTATCACTTTTTTCCAATTTGACACCCTCATCTCTCGGAATTTGACGAGAATTGGTCTCAGGGGTAATCAGGGGCTCTGAATCCACCTGTAACAATTTCAGGCTTATCAGATAAGTATTTTTTGAGTTATGGTGTATAACATTTTTTGGATCTTGCTTTGCAGCGCTCAGTTTGGCGGGCTGTAACTCTAAGACGGATTATTCAAATGCCAAATGTTATATAACATTGAACTTGCAATGAAACAGAGATTAACATGTATTTTTGAAATTTCGAAAAATACGTTATTTTTGATATATGACATATCGAGTTTTCTTTCATTTGTATTTTTTGGACTTTGGGACCACATTTTTTTGAATTCTTATTTCTTTAAAAAAATACTTGGCTCATTGTTAAGAGGTATGCAAAAAATTAGGAAGGTGTTCTTTCTATAAATGTATTTATTTTACGTCACGATAACGGTTTCGAATAGTGATTTCGGGAGGGAGCTTACAAATGGCGTGGTAAAGCTGCCTAGTGACATCACGGGTTACTGAAATTTCAATTGAAGTCTGAGTCATCTGAAAAAAAAAAGTGAAAAGAGGGTTCATCCAACCCTCTTTCCTATAAGCGCGAGGGCGAAAAAGGCTGTTTGGTTCTGACATTGTTTTGGACGCCAATGACCATAGCTGTCCGAGATGAAAGTTACAGGACGCATACATGGTGTCCTCCAGAGGTCTCACAACTTGTATATCTGGGATTTTTTACGGTTACATGAGGTCAGGTCGGTCACGTGACATCACTGTTGTAAGTCAATGGGGAAATATAAAAAACTGTTATTTTGGCGCCGACAATGATCTAAAACTATCTCATGTACATGGTATCGTGATTTCATGCACTCTTTGCAAAGTCCAATGCTTCACTTTTGCATTGTTAGCCTTGCGTGACGTCATTGATGATGTCACTAGGGTCGTACGAGTTTTTCATCAATAACTCCCGATCAAATGGAGCTAGAGAGTCGGGAAAGCCACCAATGGACTCGGGAAGACCTTCCAAATCGAATGATATGCCATATGATACCCTTTGCCCAGCTTCGTGACCTGAGGGGCTCTGACCTGACCTTGACCCGAGGTCAACTACTTAAGTTGACCTCACCCTAGCAAAAAGTATACTATTCGATGCGCCTGAGCTAGGCGAACACAATGATGCCAAAATCGCGGCTCTGCGGCCATTTTTGCGAAGTTATTTACTAAAAACCGAACCCGTAACTTCAGTCACTTGACCTGACCTCAGACCCTACCGGTTAACCTGAGACCTTAAAATCGGGTACCAATCGCTGCGACTTGTAATGGCACACACGCTCGTTTTTTTCCGCGAGGCTCTAGCTCTATTAGAAGCGAAACGGTGTGCTGGGGTCGTATCAACCCCTCCGAAACCCATTTTGTTTGCGGGAAAATGAGGAACTTATAGGAAAGAACACCTTTCTAATTTTTTGCATGTCGATTTGCAATGACATGAAGTTTATTTTGAAAAAATAAAAATGTGAAAAATTTTGGTCCCAAAAGTCATTAGAGGCAAATGAAAAAAGATTAACGTTTTTGCTCAGCAATGAAAATTTTTCTTTGGAATTTTTAAAAAGTGATATTAATTTTTGATTCATCGCAAGCTTAGTGTTGTTTACTGTTTGTTGGTTGCTTAACACGCGCAGTGGAAGGGGGGGGGCGGATTTCGCCCACCCCTCCTGTTTTTCGCCAATAACTCGCGCCGCAAGCATAATATCAATGTGAAATTTCGGTTACCTGTCCAGAATTGAATTGCGGATCTTCTCGTGCAAGAAGTAAGAAAATCGGTTCACAACTTTTCTAGTAATAGCGGTGTAAAGTCAAACATCCTGCCGCCGCCGCGGCGCTGCGGCGCGGCGGCCGGCGCTAGCCGTTACGCGCCGCCTGAATTGTAGACTGTGCCGGGGCGGGACGGTTCCGTCTTTACATCGCGCTCCTTACCGCTGATTATATTAGATTCGCGTCAAATTCGGTGAGAAGACTGAGAAATGTACAAGCAATCATATGGTCAAAGAATTTTGAAAATCGGCCGGTAACAACTTGAGTTATGAGTGTGTAAACACAAAATTGTGATTGCCGCGTTTCCCGCGTCGGCCGATGCCGCTTCAGCCGGCGACATCTTACCCTTAGCAGGCTTCTAACTGCCATATTTATTGTTGGATTATCTAGAAATTCACCATACATACTCACAAATGTTTGCTCTTTCGTATAGTGAAAGTTTTAAAAAAATCGGCCGGTAACTTTTTGAGTTATCGGCGTGTAAACGCAAAAAAGTCGCTTATATGGCAGATTTGACCACATTTGACCTCATTTGACCTTGAAGATATTGACCTAGGGTCATGAAATTCACACACAACAGAGTTCCCCATGGCCCCCACCTACCCTCCAAATTTCGTCTTTCTAGCTCCAGTGGGAGCTGAGATCTTAGGGGGGGCGACATCCGCCCCCCCCCCTTCCACTGGGCGTAGTACTCGCAACCCTTCCACTGCGCGTGTTAACCCGTTCTTGAGTTATAGGCCATCAAACTCACCGTTACAAACCGAAGGTAAAAAAATGTAATGCAATATAACTCAAAAAGTTTTGATCTGAGAAGTCTGATATTTTGCCAGGCGTCTTTGGAGCCTATGATTACCCCTAGGACCGATTTTCATTAGAATCTGAGAGATAAGGGTGACGGGCCTGGTACGATCTATCGTGGAATGCCCCAGCGGTCAATGTCGGTCCGACGTCGCACCGACGTCGGCCCGACGTCGGCTGGACCTCGGCTGGACGTCGGAACATGCGGGCATATCCGACATCCAGCCGACGTCGTGCCGAGGTTGGACCGACGTCGGGCCGACGTCGGCATGCCGATGCCGAGTTGCCGACGTCACCCCGACGTCGGCCGACGTCGGGCCGACGTCGGCATGTTTACTGGGGACGTCAGCTGAAGTAGCTCTGGGAACAAGTTTTCAGGCTCCGGGAGCCGTGCAGTTTCAGGCTCCGAGAACGCAGTTTCAGGTTCCGGGGAAACACAGTGTCAGGCTCCGGAAACACAATGTCAGGCTCCGCGGGAACACAGTGTCAGGCTCCGGGGGAACACAGTTTCAGGCTCCGGGAACACATTGTCAGGCTCCGGGGAAACACAGTGTCAGGCTCCGGAAACACAGTGTCAGGCTCCGGGAACACAATGTCAGGCTCAGGGGGAAATGCAGTCTCGTTATGCGCCATCCGCGGCCATCGGTCAGGTGGTACCGCCTATTGGCTACTCTAGCAGATGAAAGTCGAGCTTTGAATGAAAGCCGCTCAATGTGGAGACCAAACTATCACTAGTCTATTATTTTTGGTATGTGGCCCTTGCAGACGTAAGAAGAGACCGAATCGCAATGTTTCGGGAGTTAACCCTCGCACGACCAGGCCATTTCTCATAACACGAACGACCAGGGGGGGGGGTTGTTACGACCCCCCCCTGGCGTTTCGAAACGGAAGGTCGTAGAGCTTAGCGGAAAAAACCAACGGATTGCTCTCAACGAGATCTCGCAATTGGTGGTATATTTTTTGGTCCTAGGTCAACATTTGACCTACCTTTGACCGGTCAAAGGTCAAATTTTCGGAAAAATAGACTTTTTTCAACTTTCGGTGGCGATAGCGGCAAAACGGTGGGAGATATCGACTTGAAACCTTCACTATCGTGTTCCTTGATCAATTCTCTATCGTTTGGTATGTATTTCGTTTCCCTAGCTCTAAAAATGGCGCGTTGGGAGCACCGGAAGTCGGCAAGGTCACAGTCGGCGGCAGAAATTCGAAAAATCAAAATTTAAATTTTTGAAATCTGATTGTATTTTTGGATTTGGGAGGTCCATTTGCTCCCTATAGAAGCTAATATTGCTGCATATTCCCATTGAGGTGACAAGAATTAGCAAAATAGTGGTTCGGGCGCTTTTCAAAAATAGTACCGGACGCTGTTCCTCTTGTGACGTCATAGCTCCGTGACCTGACCTGACCCGGTCAAATTTCTTATACCATATGATAGCCAATACTTGCTCCAACATGCATGGGAAGTTTCATCACGATCCATCAACTGATGTCCGTACCAACGGCAGGAAACCTCGGGCGTTGGCACTCAGTTTGTGAAAATCCGGCCGGAGGCTGTACCTCTTATGACGTCATAACTCCGTGACCTGACATGACCCGATCAATTTTTTTCGGCAAAAGATGCGCAAAGGTTGCCCCAGAGGGTATTGAAAATTTCAGCCCGCTACGACAAGCCGTTTAGCGTGCACTTTGAAAAAACCTCAGGGGGGGGTTGATACAACCCCCCCCCCCCCTAGGCGTTCTAGGGTTAAAACGTGCAACTCGAGACACGGAAGACGAAGACACCAAGCGGTCCGAGAGGCATCCCCCGATTCGTGCTCAAATTAGTAGGTAACCTACACCAGGAGAAAGGGTTTCAAATAAAATTAGTTCGAGTCAAAGTGGTGAAATCGCACAGAAGTAAATGTCCAGCAAATATGAAAAATGAAAGAAGTCCAAATGTTCCAAGATAGCTTTATGCATTATAACGTTTTACTTTTTGACATATTTAGTACAACACCATGTTTTTTGCTATTTGTACCTTCTGGCAGACAGCGATTGTCGCTCACCGGTCCCCAGGTAGAAGAAAGGGAAAAGGCACACATGCCTGAAGCAGTTATTGTATATGCGTATCTAACTTTGTTTGTATCTTACCTGTTGCGAAACCCCCGATGATTCTTCCCAGGAAGAACCAGTGGACGTGCTTCTTTTCGTACCCGATGAACAGCAGAATGCCCGAGGTGGCAAGCACTATTTCAATAACCACGATCGACAGCTTGCTGTAAAAGGAAAAAACATTATATGTGCCAAAAAGCCTTACACATCTAACCATGCTTATAAAATTGTACCACTCACGGGACCCATTCATCATCGTCATCATCATTCTTAATTATGTAGTTTGCACCACTTTTACAGCGACAAATACAATGTATTATGCCTATACATTTGTCTAAGCACAAGCAGAGAAGCTTTAGTAGTCGCTTTACAGGTTCCTTGAAGGACCAGCCGAATGCTGTCCTTCAAGCTGTCCTCCAACCGCGTAGCCCGCACACGGTCAAGGTCCATCGGCCCACCGGTCGCCGGCTCCATTACCGCTCGGAAGTCCCTGCTGTTCAGTTCATACACTTGTAGGGGAAGTGAACCCTCCAGGTCTCTGCGGCACATGGCCAGCTTCACTATATAGAAGTGATCATGGTCTGTTCAAAGCGATGCTCCGCTACCATCGCTGACTTGAGAGCAGAGAATATTGCACATTTCAACAATTGTCGAGCTGGTGCCAAACCGGCAGCCGCCAAGAGGGCATGGTGGTGTGCAAAGCGAGGCATCCCAAATACCACCTTCGCACATTCGACTTGAAGGGCTTGAACATTCGACTTGAATGCGGTCCACCTCGGCTGGGCGGAGAGGAGCTGTGCTACTCCCATACATCAGAGTAGGTAGAACAACGGCTTGCCCTAGGGGTAAGCTTTTTCTGCCGGGCTTAATGGCCAGTTGGTGCTAGGCCATAAAAGGCAATGGCCTGAATGGTCTGAATGGTCCGGTCATGACCTGAAAAGGCCATGCTGCACATCAATCGACGCGTCATGGTTGTTAGTGAAACACGCCTCTGATCTAGTCAGAGCAATGAAACTACCGCCAAAATAAGAGCTGTTTTTTCAGACACATAAGCTACCTGGTCCTTCTGCAATTATCAGAACACGCGTGAAGCGATTCAGCGCTCCCTGACGTTTGCTCAACTGATTACCGTCCGATACGATCTGCGACGGAGCCACCGACCATGGCGCCGACCGTGGCGCCGGCGAAAACCACGGTCACCACAGCCCCCCAGAGGAGGTCCAGAGAGCTGGCGTCCAGCACGACGCCGAAGTCCTCCGACACCGACGCGTTGGCCATCTTCATCAGAACCTGGGGTGTCAGCAAACACAACAGTGTGAGCATTTCACTGATGCCCAGCCAGCCCAGCCTCAAACGGGCTCCGCCCAATCTTACCAAATGCCGTGAATGCGCATTCACGGCATTTGGTAACATTCAGAACTATTCCACATTCACTTATTCATTCGTTCAGGAATCATTCACGCTATTAAAATCATTGGACAAGATTAGCTGGATGTAAATAAAAAGGATATCTTTGATATCAGTGCCGTAAACTCCGGCCAGTGCTGCCAAATCCTATTTACGGCATTGGTAAGATTGGGCCCTGCTGGAACCCAACACTGACCACCTGGGCTAGCGCAGGTTTTGAGGCCCTTATACTGTTTTTAGTCCCCAGGACAGCTTCAGATGGTCCATGTCATCTCCAAAGCCCCACCTTATTTACCTACCCGCGACCGCCTGGGGAAAAGGAGGTAGATCCGGCCCACTCTCGGTTTTTCTTGAAAAACTCACGAATCGTTAAAGGTAGTGTGCCAGCTTTCCTGGACCGTATGGAGTTAATGGCCCAGATAAGGAGAACCGGATTTTTAGAACTTATCCATACCTTCAAAACTCATGGAAACGTCTTAAATTCTTCAAATTTTGAGTACCCCAGTGCGAAATTCGCCCCGACGGGTTGTCGGTCGTACCCCAACCACATTTCACACCACTATGAACAATAAATGCACACACTGAAATCGCTATTACCGATATGCTCATCCAATCAAGTTTCGATAAACCCGTTCATCATCAGCTCCTGCGGTTTCGAACACGCCTGTTAGGCAGTGCGGTAGACCGCGCCCAAAGCCAGGGCCCCGGTAACGTGAGGTAGCCGAGTCAGGGCAGCGTGCGCTGACCCAAGCCGGAGCCGCGCGTCCTCCCGGTGTCATGTGATAGCCCGGGGCTGCCCGCGGGGATGCGGTAGACCGCGCCCAAAGCTGCGGCCCCGGCTTGAGTCAGCGCACGCTGCCCCAACTCGGCTACCTCACGTTACCGGGGCCCTGGCTTTGGGCGCGGCTTCTGCTCATACTTTGTGGTGCGGTGGTGGTGCGTCGGGCCGCGCGCTCTGACTTCGGCCAAGAAAAATGCGTCAGCTGATCATTGTCATTTCTGCCACTTGCGTGCGGTGAAATGGGGTCATAACTTATGAGACGTCTTTTTCATATTAATTATTTTACATAAAATCATATTTCAAACCATAAATAATGTTCGACAGCCAAATAAAAGAAACAATACCAATACAGGCTTACAGTTTAAGGCTCGACATTGTGTTGTCTACGATTAGACAGCTGATAGCTCATTCCCGTACGTCGTATGGTCGTAACACTATAATGACCTTTGCTTATTGTCACATGTGCGCCGCATTCGCGATTGTTGCCGACGCCTGTTTGCAGGTGAGCCCACTACAGTTGTTATACATATCTAAAAACCGATAAACTTTTAGGCGAAAAAGGCACTATTCCAGGCTCATTTTTGATTTTTTTTTTGCGATATTAGGTAAAAACAGAAGCTTCTTATCCTAGGAAAAATAAAATGGGAAATCTTTCAAAGGTGGCACACTACCTTTAAAGCTAGCAACATAAAACTTAACACGCATTCTTCAACATTAACCCGCGACCCGTAGGGGGGGGGGGCAAACGGCCCCCTGCCCTTTTCCGTCGATATCTCCTAAACGGCTGGAGATATCGCCACCAAACTTTCAGCACCCCTCCGGGCATCAATTTTACACATTATGACCAGACAATTTTCCAGATGCTATGATAGGTTGGCCACAAATGACGTCAGAACGACGTCATGTTTTGCCATTTTCGACCGAAAAAAAGATCTTCGCGCGAGAAGAGCTGTCAGGCCTACAGCTTTGAAGATACAGAAAAATATCCAGGCATAAAAGGTGTAAAATTGACAGGGCTACAACACTGCGATCTCGGATTTTTAACATTTTTGTGTTTTAACCCCCAAAAATAAAAAAAAAACATTGGTGTTATTTGGTTTGTATGCATGGTCAGAAACGTAATGAATATTGCCTTCAAAATGTTGACGCCTACCGACGAATAATCGACCAGATTGTAGAAACATATAACTTTGCCATTTTGAATAAGAAGTAGGCAAAAAGTTTTCTGGAACTATTAATATTTATGTGTTCTTTCATCGATAATTCGGGTTAAAAAACTAATAATGTAAAGAAAAAATGTAAATAAGAAGGTTGCAGCATATCACTCGACGTCATTTTCAGCCGTTCTGTTGGGGTGTCCGCATTTCGCTCTATCAGGATGTAGGTATGCAGAATTGATGCCCCGAAAAGGGTGTGCAAAGGTTGACGACCCTAACCAGCCTTCGTTTAGGAGATATGGAGGAAAGAAGGAGGGCGTTTCGCCCCGCACTACCCCTCTCCCACGGGGCGCGAGTTAGTCTCGTATGACCTCCAGCGCACGTTGTGATTTTGGTTTGAACAAGTCACAACGTGCTTGTTTTTGTTATTTTTGTACCTCCGACATAGTATTGTCGGAGCTGGTCAATTCCTTCTGTTTGTCGGTCTCACCTGCTGAGGGGCGTTCAGGACGACAATGCTGTACCCGCAGCTGACGAGACAGGCCAGTGCAACGGCCACACTGGACACCAATGTCGGCGTCCAGTCCCGCCCAGCGGTCTGAAAAATCGCCCGGGCATGGTACAGGCGGGCAGGGTCAGCGGGCGGCAGCAGATGTCAGCAGCACACGCGGCAATAATCGCGATAATACAATGCATAATTATATCACAGACATAAGTGCTTATTCGATTATGTCCTCGCTGACACTGAAAAACCGTTACCAATTCATAAAGTTTGTTAGCTCCTTGTGATACCGTAAAGATATTGGGTTCCAGTTTTTCCATGTGACGTCATTATAAAGAAAAATGCCAGTCACAATTTCTACGTAGGGTGGCAGGTGGGACACCCCCTGTGCTTATTCGCGAATATTTCATGAACAGCAACGCAAGACGTCGCTGTTTTTTCTTCTGTGTATCATACACCTTTTCTGCAAACGTTAAAGAAAAAATCCAAGTCAGGCTACTCAAGATCAGGTCACCAGGTCACGTGACCTTACGTTATAAAAAGTGTCAAGCTTAGCATAGCTATACACCTACTGACCAATTGATTTCAAAATTTTGGTGATTGATAAGAGAAGCAGTATTTATAGAGCCCTATCTCGGAATTTTTATAGCGGTGTCCGGTGATTTGTGATTTGTGAGGCCTGGTCAATTCTGCAACCAGCCGTCGCTAGTCAATGGGGAAAATTAACTGTGCTTCTTTTGAGAGAAAGTCATTGAAAGTCAAATCGACTGGTAATTACTCTTAAACATCCGGTTACAGATGAAAATGAAGTACTGAATATAAAAATCACGTCCGTGACCAATTTTTATGACCGTGAGATCATCTCGGGTCACGCAAGGCCCCAGGAGCTTTCAGCTATAAGTTTTGATAGTAACAAGGCAGAGCGATGAAAACACATATGGATGTGTTCAGGTCATCGATACGACTTAGCTGATATAATTAACTCTTCCAGTCAGGTCATGACCTTAACCTTAGATCAAATATTCAAGCTGGCCTTTTAACCCTAGAACGCCTAGGGGGGGGGGGTTGTATCAACCCCCCCTGAGGTTTTGTCGAAGTGCACGCTAAACGGCTTGTCGTAGCGGGCTGAAATTTTCAATACCCTCTGGGGCAACCTTTGCGCATCTTTTGCCGAAAAAAAATGATCGGGTCATGTCAGGTCACGGAGTTATGACGTCATAAGAGGTACAGCCTCCGGCCGACAGTTACCAAACGTGTGCGCCGAATCCCTAGGTTTTCTGCCGGTGATACCCACATTGTTTGATGGATCATGATGAAACTTCCCATGCATGTTGGGGCAAGCATTGGCTATCGTGTGGTGCAAGAAAATTGACCGGGTCAGGTCAGGTCACGGAGCTATGACGTCACAAGAGGAACAGCGTCCGGTACTATTTTTGAAAGGCGCCCGAACCACTATTTTGCTAATTCTTGTCACCTCAATGGGAATATGCAGCAATACTAGCTTCTATAGGGAGCAAATGGACCTCCGAAATCCAAAAATACAATCAGATTTCAAAAATTTAAATTTTGTTTTTTCGAATTTCTGCCGCCGACTGTGACCTTGCCGACTTCCGGCGCTCCCAACGCGCCATTTTTAGAGCTAGGGAAACGAAATACATACCAAACGATAGAGAATTGATCAAGGAACACGATAGTGAAGGTTTCAAGTCGATATCTCCCACCGTTTTGCCGCAATCGCCGCGGAAAGTTGAAAAAGTTTGATTTTTTCGGAAAATTTGACCTTTGACCGGTCATAAGTAGGTCAAATGTTGACCTAGGACCAAAACATATACCACCAATCGCGTGATCTCGTTGAGAGCAATCCGTTGGTTTTTTTCCGCTTAGCTCTACGACCTTCCGTTTCGAAACGCCAGGGGGGGGGGGTCGTAACAACCCCCCCCCCCCCCTGGTCGTTCGTGTTATGAGAAATGGCCTGGTCGTGCGAGGGTTAACCCGCGCGGGGCTGGAGGGTAAATTTTACCCCCCCCCCCTCGCGAATTTTTGCAATATCTCAAAAAAGGCGGCGCGCATCGCCGCCAAACTTTCAGTACCTTTTTTTACATCAATGTGAGGCCTTCCCTGAAAATTTGAGCGAAATCCGTTGGAAAATATTTGAGAAATTGACGTTTTAGTGACGTCATGTTCGCCATTTTCGCCTCAAAAACGGCAAAATTTCAAACGCCGCTAACATCTTCATTTTTAAAGGAATCAAGACGTATCAAAAAGGTTACACGTAATTCTACTTTGTCTATCCAATGGCTATCTCGGTTTTTTGAAAAGTTTGGATTTTGGCCCAATTTTTTTCTCAAAAAACTGACTTTTTTGGGAAAATAATTATAAAATCCAAAATTTTGAGTGTATTTAAAACGGAATATATGTCAGAGAAGTGGTCTATGTGCACCTACATACCAAATTTTAGAAGAATCAGTTCAAAAATGTGGGAGTTATTCAAAATTTTATGACGTCACGACACACAATTTTTTTTAAATGGATTTTTTTTTGGAAGTTCTAGACCTCGTACGGAAACAAAAATAGCACCATTCGATTCGCCGTGAAAAACTACATCAGATAGACAACTTTTTAGGCCTTAACAGCCACCTTCAAAATATGACCTCACTTGACCTGACCTTGACCTGACCTCGACCTGAAATTCATCCAGAGGTGGTCCATATCACTTATTGAGTGTGCCTATTGAATTATATGAGCAAAATGACCCATAAAACATGTGTCGCACATGCCCTTTTCTATATTTTGTTTTTGGTGACCTGACCTGACCTGACCTGACCTGGACCTTGACCTCTGAATGATATTGTATGCAACGAATATTGTCTTGGTAGCCTAAGAACACGTTTTGGGCAATCAGTCTCAGTCCATGACTCCATTCTTCGGCAACTACTGTGCAAGGCCGATACTGTAGAAACTTGCAATTTGTACCCTTGACCTGACCTTGACCTTGACCTCAGACTTTAAATTAAGTACATGTTTTAATTGTTCATGATGAGATCTTTCGATTGGCGTTTGAATTTTCCAAATCGGACCATTAGTTCGGGAGATAACAGGGGGGTAAAATTTACCCTCCACCCCCCCCCCCCCCCAGCCCCGCGCGTTCGGCTGGAGACCCCAGCCCCGCGCGGGTTAAGGTTAACTGTAGTTCATTCGACACCTTTTGACGAGAGAAACACGCTGTCGGTAAACGTAATACAGTGCAAGTTATTGCAGAAAAGCTATTTCCGCAAAAAGTCTTTTGGCAGCCTTTGCCCTCTGCAGGCTTAACCTTAGCTGAAATCTGAGGAAGGTGCACAGAGAAAACGTAGGGCTACCTATTATAATGTGCGTTTCTGCGTTGCTGTAGCTCTAATTGTTCAAGAGTTATTCGTCGCTTTGTTGAATATTGTCGAAATAGGCTAAACCTGACCTTGACGACCTCTGGCGAAGGCCTTTACTCCTGACTAAAAATGACCAATAAATTCGTCATGATGATATGTTAGCAAATGTGTTTCACTAGGCTGGACCTTATTTGTAAGAAGAATTTGAAAATTGAACATTTAAACGAGCGAAGTCCGAAATATGGGGTTAAACCATAAGGAAACACCTCCTGTTTAGTGTCAGATCGATCGGATATGTTTCAGAGCGCAGCAGCATGAAACAATTAAGCCGTTGCCGCGCGAGGGGCAATTGAACACTCCCCTGTGGTTTTTCGCAAATATCTCAAAAACAGCAGCGCGGAGCACCGTGTGGAGACTGGAGAAGGAAACGTAGGGCTCCCACTCCCCGATGGAGGTCCCAATTCCTTATCCCGCGCCCCACTGGGGGGGGGGGGGCTATTCATAGCCCCCCTCCCGTTTTTCTGCAATAACTTCCAAACCACTTGACGTATTGACGTCAAACTTTCAGTACGTACCTTGGGCTGCATCAATTTGACATCTTGTGTCAAAATTTGAGCTTAGTACCTACCATAGATCGGCCTGAAATGACGTCAGAGTGACGTCATGTTCGGCCGATTTTGACGCAAAACATTGAACCTTGGCAATCGCTCTCAAGAGCTCAGTTTTTAAGCTAGATCCAATTTCTTTGTATGGAAGGACTCAGAATTGATTGCGCTACCAAACTGCCATCTCGGAGTTTCAAAATTTTGAAAGTTGTGAAAATTTTATATAATAATATTCAAAATTTATGTTTTTTTATGTTTTCAATTTTTTTTTACTTTTCGAAAAAACCGGAACATCTGTGACAGAACGCATGCTTATGACTAACTCTAGCAAGTTTTAGCTAAATATCTTCAAACATGGCCAAGTTATACGCATTATTGCAAAAAACATTCACAATTATTAATTTTTCAAATCAATTTTTTCAGTACGTATTTGACATCGTACACTAATATAAATAGCACAATCGTGTTCCTGAGCTCAAACTGCATCGAATAGACATCTTTTTTGTTGAAAAATTTTAACTTCAAAATTTGACCTTTTTTTACCTGAAAGTGACCTGACCTAAGCTAAATTCGACTCAAAATGACCTCGAATGACACAGACGACATCAAATTCGAAATCTATGGCGTAAATCGATCATAAAACATGTGTCACATGACCGACGCATGATATAATATTTCCGTGACCTGTGATGACCTGACCCTGACCTGAAAATCAAAGTACAAGTTTGGTACCCTCAAGGTATCTAGAGCATCTGTTCACGAGTGTGTAAACCAAAAATGAGCCTGATCTGGCTTGTAAGACGGCGGCCAGAGCCCAAAATGTGAACAAGCCGAAATGCTAATAATTTTTACTTTGACCTGACCTGTGACGTCATCGATGACCTGGAGGTCAACGAAATTAGGTTTTGTTCGACAATTTTTCCGGGGCTATCAGACGCCGTTTGAAATTTGACGATCGGCCCAGTAGTTTCGGAGTTAGGAGGGGGGCTATGGAGAGCCCCCCCCCCCCCCCCCAGTAGGGCGTGTTATACGCAGACCCCAGTGGGGCGCGTGTTATCTCGTCTAGATCTCTTTTTACCCATCTGGTTTACTTTGCCTTCTGTCTGGGTGTCTCGGGCGCCCAGTAACACTGGGCCGTCGGCTCTTGGACGTCGGCCACCCGGTCACGTGACGGCGTCCCGACACCCCATAAAAACCTATGTTTCTGTGAATACACACGCTCACTTCTCTACCGACTGTATCGCCAACACGACCAGCGGACCACGGCTCCGACGAGGGCGGTCGAAATGGGCGGCCCACAGCCACCGTTTTGGCGCATCTCATTATACACCTTTTCCGCACTTGTTAAAATTTCAGACCAAGGTCACGGTCAGGTCACCAGGTCACGTCAAGTGACCTCACCTTATAAAACGTTCAAAGTGACCATCCCACCTTAACATTAGTTTTTAACCCGCGACCTGGTGGGGGGGGGCTATTTTTTGCCCCCCCCCTCCAGACTTTTCGATATATCTCCAGAACCGCTGCGCCCGATCGTCACCAAACTTTCAGTACCCTCCCGGACATCAATTTTACACATGGTGACCAAAAATTTTTCCAAAGGCTATGATAGGTTGGCCGGAAATGACGTCAGAGTGACGTCATGTTCTGCCGTTTTCGACCCAAAAAAGGGTCTCGCGGGAAGAGCTGTCAGGCCTATAGCTTTGCAAATACAGAAAAATGATAAAGACATAAAAGCTGTAGAATTGACAGGGCTACAAAACTGTTATCTCGGATTTTTAAAATTTTTGGATTTTGACCCCCAAAAACCAAAAAATAGATTTTTTGGATATAATGATCGACAAATCCAAAAAGTTTTTTGAATTTCGCAAAAACCGGAATATATGTGATAGTCCTTACCACCTTCCATCCACATACCAAATTTGAGATTGATACATACCTCTTTTTTTGGCGAAGTTATAGCGAAAAAAAAACTGTTCAAAATTGATGAAGTCACATTTTCAAACTCAATTTTTAGCAATTCTAGACCCCGTAGCGCAAAACAAAGACCACCATTAGACTCCCCGTGACGAGCTGCATCGAATCAATACCTTTTATATGCAAAACTATCAACTTTAAAATTTGACCTTTTTTGGCCTGACCTTGACCTGACCTTGACCTGAACTTCACCAGAAAGTGACCTAAGCCGTACCTGATAGCCTTATAACCAACACCATTGAGTTGGAAATGAAAAATTGGCCATAAAACATGCATCACACAACCTTAGTAAAGTTGGGCTCATGTGACCTGACCTGTAACCCTTGGTGACCTGACCTGTGACGTGACCTGGTATTGTCAGTGACCTCTAATAGCAACATATCTACTAGGCAACTGACGCCCTATCGCTGATTCTCGACAAAATGCGTTTTCCTCGGTGTTATAGCGCATTCCCTAGAAGACCCGTGAACGGTGAAACATTTCATCTTTGACCTGACCTGTGACGTCATCGGTGACCCCGAGGTCAATGAAATTTGGTTTCCTTCGACAAATTTGACAGGCCTTTCGAACGCCGTTTGAATTTTGCGGATCCGTCCAGTAGTTTCGGAGATACGAGGGGGGGCAAAAAATAGCCCCCCCCCCCCACCAGGTCGCGTTATAAACAGACCCCACTAGGGCGCGGGTTAATTGAAATAGCCAAAATGGGGTCCCTGGCTTGCACTTACCGGTCTGAGCACTCACAACATCGAGAAATGCATCAAATAGAAAATATATAATTTCAAAGTTGCAGCACTTTGAATTCAGAGGGGCTAATGCATTTGAATGCCCCCTCTGAATGTGTGACGTCAGCGCAGATCTAACGATTTTAAATCTTTTACTAAAACGTTTGGTAGCACGCGGTGGTATATGCTGCTTTGTGCGCAACGAGTACCGCACTTTCAGCTGCCAAACTATTGCTTCCAAATAAAGTCGCTAAGAACAGCTGAGATCCCAAAAAATAAAAAAGTAAAAGTCTAATATCTTGAAAACCGTGAATATTTTTCGGTGAAATTTAGTACATATTCCTTTTCGCTCTTTCTGAACCGAGCGACATCACCTTCATGCCAATTTATCAACTTTTGTAAAGTTGGGAGGGTCCCTTTAAATGCCTGCCATAGCTGAACCGAGTGACCGATTGCTTTGAAATTTTCAGCAATTGATCAGAGCAACAGTATGTCCAAAGAACATCGCGGAATTTTGATATCAGTGACCTAAGGTCAGGTCAATTTTGCGACCTCTCCATTATAAGCGAATGAGAGAAAATAGAAATTCTCCTCTTTTCGACGAACGTCATTTTTAAACACTTTCAAACACCCAGAAAACCTGACACATTGAAACGGAAAATGTTACCCGTGACCCCTCGTTATGTCCATGAGGTCACCACAGGTCACGAATGGGGTCAATGTGAAAACAATTTTTCGTTAATAGCTTCTGATAGATGCATGCTAGAGCGATGAAAACGCCTTAGATGAGTTCAGTTCGACAATACGGATCGACGAACATACTGCATGACCCTTTTCGGTCAGGTCATGACCTTGACCTAAGGTCAAATTTTCAAGAAGACCTGTTAAGGTCAAGTTATAGTTCATTCGACGCGTCTCAACGAGAGGAACACGATGCTGGCAAAATCAATGTCGTCTTCAGTCAAAAGTTATTACAGAAAAGCATTTTTCGTAAAAACAAGTAACAACTACTTTTCGGGTTTTTGCCCCTGGAGGCTAAACGTTGACCTGAGTTCAAATCTGAAGACAATAGTCAAAAAGGCCTGTGAAGGGGCTATCTAATGCGCTGTTCCGCGGTGCTGTATAGCTTTACTGGTTCCTTACTTATGTGCCGGTGATTCGAAAATGTTGACAGGCAAGCAGAGTGTGGGTTAAATTAGCTTTGGGGCACCCCTAAACTATTCCCGATTGATGTGAAAACTCACAGGAAGCGTTTTTGTATAGTTTCACACCATATCCATTATCCAGGCGTTTGCTGGTGATAAATCAAAGGTTAGAAAATAGGTAATGGCCACCCTAATGTTCACTCAAAATATGTTTAATCCGCGCCGGGCCGGTGCTCTGAGATTCCGCGCCGGGCCGGTGTCTGAACACCCCCTTCTAACTCGGCTCCTGGGCCACGTAGCGACACGCGGTAAGCGGCATTCGAAAGAACGTCCAAAATAAGGACGAATACATTTCGCTCATTTTATGGGTCAGGTCAAAGGTCAGGTCAGGTCACCAGAGGTCACCAAAGGTAAAATGTTGACTATTTCAACATTTTGGAGACTGCCAACGGTTATCTCGGGAACCGATAGAGCTACAGCGCCGCAGGAAAGCGTATTCGATAGCCCTTTTACAGACCTTTCTGATTAATGGTCTCAGATTTGACCTCAGGTCAACGGTTTAGCCTCCGCCCTCCAGAGGGCAAAAACTCCAAAAATAGCCGTTTTTACGAAAAGTGTTTTTTTTTTTTGGCAATAACTTTTGACTCAAAAGAGCCATGTCATTACTTTTACCAGCATCGTGTTCCTCTCGTCGAGACGCGTCGAATGAACTATAATTTGACTTTGAAAGGTCAACTTGAAAATTTGACCTCAGGTCAAGGTCATGACCTGACCGGAAAAGGTCATGTTGCATATCAGTCGATCCGCAAACGTCGAGCCGAACACATCTAAGGCGTTTTCAGCGCTCTAGCACGTCTCTATCAGAAGTTATTAGCGAAAAACTGTTAGATTCTGTTCGTGACCTAAGGTGACCTCGGGGACATAACGAGGGGTCACAGTTGCCATTTTCCGGTTCGGTGTGTCAATTTTACCTACATCTCGATGTTTGAGAGTGTCTAGAATAGCATTCGTGCAAAACAGACGCTTTTTAATTTTCTCTCATTGACTTATAATGGCGAGGCCGCAAAATTGACCTGACCTTAAGTCACCGATATCAAAATTCCGAGATATACATTTTATATATAACTGTTGCTCTAATAAATCGCTGAAAGTTTCAAGGCAATCTATCAATCGGTGTAGCTATGACGAGCATTCTTGTTTTTTCTGAGGTGAGGTCACTTGGCGTGACCTGGTGACCTGACCTATGGCGACCTGGGTCTGAAATTTTCACAACATGTGCGGAAAAGATGCACGAACAGGTGTGCCAAAAACGGCGGCGCTCCGCGCCGCCGTTTTTGAGATATCTGCGAAAAACCGCAGGGGGGGTGTTCAAACACCCCCCCGGCCCTGCGCGGGTTAAAATGTCCAGTTTCATCCCGACACCCACCGAGCACGTGTGCTGCATTTTCATGATGTCCGGTCGGTGCTGTTTGACGGCTGGCGTCGGCTGTTGTCTGCTGGTTTCGGCTGTTGATGTTCCTGGGCCGGTCCGGAGAGCTGCGCTGGTCCCATCGCAGCCTCGACTGACCCTCAGCCGTGTGCGCATCGGCTCGGCGCCTTATATCCGTGTCTCGCCAGCGGCGTCGCCAGGAGCGTCGGCGGGGTGACGGCCGACGGGGTCGGAGACGGACTGGCGGGGGGGGGGGGAGGGCGCCGGCCGAGGACGGACGGTTGGACAGCGTCTAACGACGGCCCAGTGCACCAGAGGGTGCTTTGAGGGCGGCTCAGTTGGACAGAGGGTGTTTGAGAAGATGGCTCAGTTGGACAGAGGGTGTTGTGGGGACGGTTCAGCTGGACGGAGGCTGTTGTAGGGACGGCTCAGTTGGACAGGAGATCTTTATCTTGCCTGAAACAAATATCTTGCCCTTGCGCGCCTCCAAGATCTTACATTGCAAATAGGACTTTATAGATAATTATGCATAACTATAAGCAGGTTGTGGCGCAGCCGTTGTCTTCTCATTTTTCGCTGGAAATGCTCGTCCAAAACAGAAATATTGCCTAAGCTTCGACAAAATCTTGTATGAAATAATCAATGAGATCAGCGCCTAATATTTTCAAGCAAACATGTGAGGGGTATGAATTTGAGCCATGCGAAAGTTACTCTGACCCCGGAGTCGTACCCTGGAAGATTTTGACGACTCCAACTCTGACTCCAACTTCAGGCAAAACTGTCGACTCTAACCGACTTCGACTCGGACTGTGCCACCCTGTCCCAGGGTGTTTGGGTCAAGTTCAAGGAAGGTTCAGTCCTATAAGTGTAAGCGTGTTTTCAAGGACATGCCATTCCTTGGCGGCCATCCGACCGCTGGTACACCTGCTGCTGCAATAATCGAGTGCGGGCACACAGACACACATTAAGACGGCACAATAAGGGGCCACCAGGGCCCACACAAGGTCGCACCACATGAACATCCCAGCGTATGTGGCAGCATACCCATTCGTGGTTCTGCGACCTTTGAAGCACTGACAACAGCGTCAGGAATCAGGATATCGATAACACACGTGCATTGCGTTGCATTGCATTATCTGTCCTGGCCCTGGGACCATTACTCTTATAGTGATTTGTTGTACTTTCTCAGTAACAGCAAATCACTATATGTGCGCAGGTGACGCCGCCGTTTTCCCAAATGCAGAAGACACTAGAGATGTCAATCGGATACCAACTTTTTGGTAATATACCGATACCAAACCGATACCAACTTGGTATTTGGTATTTCAATCCTAATGCTTTTGGTATTTTGTTGGTATTATGAATGCTCAGTAATGTATAAGAGGCTGTAAATTTGGTAAAAAGTTTGTATTTTCCTGGTATTCCCAACTTGGTTCGGTTTCGGTATTTTCCATGGTTTTGGTTGGTATTTGGTTTGGTATCGGTAACCTCACTTTCTGTAATTGACATCACTAGAAGACACTCAAGCCTTAGTGAGCGGCCGAATCGACGATCTCAGATAATTTATCTCTCGTATAGAAGCATCCCTCGCATCGATCAGTGATTGGTTTAGTCTTCACGCTCTCAAGCTAAACGGAAACAAAACACAGCTCGTGGTTTTTGGCAGCAGATAAAATTTTCGAAAAGTAGGTACCTGACTTCAGCGTCTCTCTTCATGACTCAGTGCCTGCTTGCTAACGGCCATGCAAGCAAGCGGCCTGTCCGGGGAAATACATGCGTCCGAGCTCAGTCGTCGGTGTACTTAACCCGCGCCCTGCTGGGGGGGGGGGGTGTTTGAACACCCCCCCCCCCCCCTTGTGGTTTTTCGCGAATATCTCAAAAACGGCGGCGCGGAGCGCCGCCGTTTTTGGTACACCTTATCATACATCAATTCTACACATGTTGTGAAAATTTCAGACCAAGGTCATTCAAGGTCACGTCACCAGGTCACTTGAAGTGACCTCACCTCATAAAAAGTTTCAATGTCTGTCATAGCTACACCGAGTGACCGATCGCTTTGAAACTTTCAGAGCTTGCTAAGAGCAACAGCATGTACAAAATGTATATCTCAGAATTTTGATATCGATGACCTAAGGTCAGGTCAATTTTGCGACCTCCCCATTATAAGTCAATGGGAGAAAATTGAAATGCGCCTCTTTTGGACGAAAGACATTATGAACACTCCCAAACACTGAATTACAAGTGGTTTAGACACACTGAACATGAAAATGGTGTCCGTGACCCCTTTTTATGCCCTGAGGTCATCTTAGGTCACGAATGGTATCTAACAGTTTTTCGCAAATAACTTTTGATAGAGGCATGCTAGAGCGATGAAAACGCCTTAGATGTGTTCAGCTCGACGATACGGATCGACTGATATGCAATATGACCTTTTCCGGTCAGGTCATGACCTTGACCTGAGGTCAAATTTTCAAGTTGACCTTTCAAGGTCAAGTTATAGTTCATTCGATGCGTCTTGACGAGAGGAACACGATGCCGGTAACAGTAAGCTCGTACAAGGCTTGGGTCAAAAGTTATTGCAGAAAAACTGTTTCCGAAAAAATCGGCTATTTTTGCAGTTTTTGCCCCCTGCAGGCAAAACCGTTGACGTTAGGTCAAATCTGAGAAAATTACTCAGAAAGGGCGTTAATAGGGCTATCGAATGCGCTTTTCCGCGGCGCTGTAGCTCTATTGGTTCCCGAGTTATGCTATGGCTTCTTGGAAATTGTCGACATTCGACCTGGAAATCAGCGAAATTTTGCCTTCAATGACCTCTGGTGACCTGACCTTTGACCTGAGCAAAAAAATGACCGAAGTGATTTCCTCATTATTTTTGACGCTCTTTCGAACGCCGCCTTTCGCGTATCGCTACGTGGCCCAGGAGCCGAGTTAGAAGGGGGGTGTTCAAACACCCCCCCCCCCCCAGCAGGGCGTGGAAATCCAGGACCCCCAGCCGGGCGCGGGTTAATTGTTGATCGGACAGTCTCATGCACGAGATTGTCTCCCGGACCGTGTAATTGAATATTCTCTTTCTCAAAACCACCTCTTTTGGACGAAAGTTATTCTAAACACTATAAAACACTGTACGTGACTTTGACACACTGAACATGAAAATAGCATCCGTGACCCTTTTTTATGCCCCTGAGGTCATCTCAGTTCACGAATGGTATCTAACAGTTTTTCGCGAATAACTTTTGAAAGAGGCATGCTAGAGCGATGAAAATACCTTAGTTGTGTTTGGTTCGACGATGCAGATCGACTGATATGCAACATGACAATTTCCGGTCAGATCATGACTTGAACCTGAGGTCGAATTTTCAAGTTGACCTTCAAGGTCAAATTGTAGTTAATTTGATGCGTCTTGACGAGAGGAACACGATGTCGGATAACAGAAAACGCTTGCATTGGGCCTTGGCTCGTGCAAGGCATGAGTCAAAAGTTATTGCAGAAAAACTGTTCCTCCAAAATCGTCTTTTTAGTAGTTTTTGCCTCTTGCAGACAAAACCGTTGACGTTAGGTCAAATCTAAGAGAAATAACCAGAAAGCATGCTAATATGGCTATCAAATGCGCTTTTCCGCGGTGCTGTAGCTCTAATTGGTTCCCGAGTTATGCGTCGGCATCTTGTTAACTGTCGATATTCGACCTGAAAATCGGCGAAATTTGGCCTTCACCATGATCTGACCTTTGACCTGACCAAAAAAGTGGCTGAAGTAATTTCGTCATTATCATTTTACGCTCTTTCGAACGAAGATGGATTATGGGGTGTAAAAAGATATGCTTGCCAATGTACAGTCCGCAGCAGAAGTAATGTGCGGTTTCAGTCATGGGTATGTTCTGCTTCTGAAGCTTAGGAACGATTAGTCAGACTACAATGAAACTTTGAATGTAGCCATGGGTGTCGATTTGTATACCTTTGGGGGTGCTGCAGCACCCCCAATGCTCAAATGAGCACCCCAATGGTTTTCCGGGCACCCCCAAATTTTCCAGTTTAGCATCCCCAATGATTTGGTCCCTCAAAAACTCCCACTAACTCTGCTTGAGGAAAATAATTGGTTCCGCAGTCTTTCACTACTAAAAATAAAACAATTACGCAATTTACAATGCATGAAGTAAAGATGTACTAGAAAGTAAAAGTTAGTCTAAAGAAGAAGGGCGTAAAAAGACGTTAAGTTGCAAAGACACTGGTGTGGGTCCGTCGTAGACGGGTGTCGGACCCTTAGAGCTGATGGCGTGTACCCTTTACAAGCCGGCAGGGGGCTCCAGAGACCGGCGACGGGCCCTCAGAGGCCGGCAAAGTGCCATCAGAGGCCGGTGGTACCTTCAGAAACCCTGTGGGGTCGTCTCTAGAGACCGGCACGGGCTCAGATGCCGATGGGGCCCTCAGAGTCGCCGGTGTGGGGCCTTCAAATGTCACCGGTGGGTGGCCATCACATGTGCACTTGTGGGGCCTTTAGAAGCGACGATGTTGGGCCCTCAAAGCCGCAGATATAGGGCCTTAAGAGGCACTAGTGTGGGGCCCTAATATATGGCAATGTATGGCCCTCACAGGCGCCGTTGTGGGGGCTCTCAGAGACACTGGTTTAGGGCCATCACAGGCGCGCGTGTGGCCCTCAGAACTGCTGTTACGGAACGGACCCTTCATAGGTCGACAAGAAGATATCAAGAGGTCACCGGTGCCATCAGGAGCCTTGTGGGGTTCTCAGAGACCGGCATGGCGCTCTCAGACGCCGCTGGGACCCTCCGAGTCACCTGTGTGGGACCGTCAGGGTCGCTGATAACTGACAAGGGCCCTCAGAACCGCCCATGTGGGTTTTTTAAATGCATTGGTGTGGGGCCTCAGAGTTAGGGGTGTGGGCCCTCAGAGACGCCGGTGTGGCGCTCAGAGGCGCCGGTGAGGGCCCTCACAGTCGCCGTTATAGGGGCCCTCAGAGAATGTGTAAAAATGCAAGTGTCAGCAAGGCCGTTCCGTCGCTCAATACGTTGTAAAAAAACACCTTAACTCCTCTGAGGGAATGTAGCCCTCAGAGAAATAGGTGTGGGGCTATTACAGGTGGGTGTGGAGCTCCCAGAGAGCTCCCAGAGCCCCCTAACCCAGCCAGCAATTTGGTTCGGCGCAAGTCCGTTTTGCCCCGGCAACTCCGACATGCCAGACTCGGGCCGGTATAAAAGGAACGCCGTCAGAGCCGGGGTTTGGGTCGATACGGCTCTATTCCGGTTAGCCAGTCTTGGCCGTAGCGCTCCCGGGTTGGTATGGTTCCGGACCGCCAAGTCTGGCTCAAGTCCGGCTCCCTG